ACACAGTGGCATCCGGGAGAAAAATTAAGGGGACCTGGGTCAGTCTGCAGGAACCCTAGACAGCCGATGGGTACGCAACATTGCGATGCAGGCCACAGCGAGAGAAGACAAGGACAAGACATGGTGCCAGGCACACAGTACATGCTCACTCATGGTTTGTGGGAAAAGCACATGGCTCTGAAACCAGGATGTGCTCTTTCCAGAAAGCTCACACTCCAGTGTGCACAACCGCCCCCCCTCCGCAAGGTGATGCCAGGTGGGAGAATGTAACTTATACAATTTCACCTCCTCTGGGAGGGAAATGGTGTCCAGTTCCAGCCCTGGAGACTCCGGTTAGACAAATAATCACCAGTCTGGCAATCGCAGGAGCAGCAGCAGCAGCAGCAGCAGCGGTCAGAAGAGCAACTTGATTAAAGTCGCTTCCTAATAGGAGTTGAAACATCTTGAAAGGTGAGGTTTTCAGGCCTCCTCTGGGGAGGCAATTGTTAAAAACACACAACAGGCAGCCTTGCCTTCCCCACCTTCAGAAACCACTTTTTTAAGACAATCCTTTTATTCTTTGTACCACGTGGGATGGCAAATGCATTTAGCACAGGCCACCCGAGGCGGAAAGAGCGTTGGGGAAGAACTACTCCAGGCCTACAGCGGCCGCAACCCAAGCAGCCGGGGCGGGACGTCAGCTGTCCCCAGGCCTTGGGGACCAACGCTTAGCCACGAGCCCCTCCTGGAAGTCCCCTGACTCCCTGTCCCAGGCCTGAGACAGGCGGCCGATCTCTCAGGGCCTTGGTGGCAGGACAGAGGACCTCCCTCCGTGCCTCCCCGATGATCTGCATCTGACCACAAACCATCCGACTCACAGAGCCCTTTAATTAAAAGCCCAAGGGTTTCGAGCTAATTCTAGTTGTGGCAGGACCCAGTGGCTTCCCAGGCACCAGAGCTGCGAGCAGAATAATGAGGGTAATTTGGCCCTTCCTGGTCTGTGAATGACAACTCACTCAACTATAAATTAGACTCACAGGATGCCAGAGCTGGAGGCCACCTGGGCAACTGTCCGGCGTCCCCCTGGGCCTTGTGGCCCAGGAGCCCGGGGTCCAGGGACGAGGTGGGCCACCCCAGGCCCGCTGCCATTTCATCCTGACTTTCATTCAGAAGCCTTATTTTATTTTATTTTATTTTTTCCCCAAGTGCCCAGAAACTGCTCTTGTTCAGATCTCTGCACTGAACTCTGAGGCTGCTTGGAGCTGAGGAACACGCTGGTTACAATCCAGACACAATTCACAGATGGGAGAACAGCTTCAGGGAAAGAAATTTCAAAACCACTTACTGAGAACCAGCTCTGCCCTTGGCTGAGCACGGCCCTTTCCACCCCTCATCTCTCGTTCATGTCTCACATCCACACCCTGGCAACACGGGTCTCATTAGGCCCGCAATGGACATAAGGCAACCCCACCTAAGAGAAATAAGAGCCCAGACAAGCTAGTGGTTGTTTATTATTATTATTATTATTATTATTATTATTATGATGCTTATGCCTTCAACAGATTCTTTCCTTTTTTTTTTTTTTTTACTTTAAAGTTGTAATCCCTAAAGCAACAATATGAGGCCTTACTTCTTCAGCAATGATAAGAATCATTTTGGTATATTTTTAATCATCTGATTCATTGGATTGGAAACTGGACTTTTTCATACTACTAATGCTCAATATTTTTGAATATCCTTTATGTACCAAATACTTTATAAAATAATCTCGTTACTAAAAAATAGCTTCATACAGCACTCGCCCTCATTTTACTGAGACAGATACGAAGGCTCAGAGCCTTTAGTGATCACACGGATCACCCATTAATGAAAGAAGTGGGATTCTTTTTAGCAGATCTTTTTTTTTTAAGATTTTATTTATTTATTCATGAGAGACACACACAGAGAGAGAGAGAGAGAGAGAGAGAGAGAGGCAGAGACACAGGCAGAGCGAGAAGCAAGCTCCATGCAAGGAGCCTGACATGGGTGGGACTCGATCCCAGGTCTCCAGGATCAGGCCCTGGGCTAGAGGTGGCGCTAAACCACTGAGCTATCTGGGCTGCCCTTGAAGTGGGATTCTCATGCAGGACTGTCTGAACCCTGTATTCCTTCGATCCTAACGGCCTACTTCTCCCCCAGTGACTTTGTTGACTCAGTGCCAGGCCAGACATCACAGATTCTGGAGACCAACCTTCTAAACTGTGTCAGCTGGGCACATACCAAAGGTCTGGGTCAGTGGAGGTGATAAATGGGACGGTAGTGGTGACCCTCATCTTGGGGTCTGAAAGCAATCACACACAGGAATGGGACACAGGATAGTCACCAAGCCCGGCCTGGTGGGCCAACTCCTTGTTTGGGGTGCATGTAGAGGAACAGTGATAGGGACAAAGAATCCCACCAAGCCCTCCCATGCAGCCTACGGCTACCTTCCAGAACTTCTTCCACTCTGGAGATGAAGATTCTGAGGGCCAAGTGTGATGCCTCACTCATGTGTGCTAGTGGCTCCTCAGCTCCCGGAAAAGATACATACGTGAAGTGACAATGAAAATACAGTGTGGGGCAGCCCTGGTGGCACAGCAGTTTAGCGCCGCCTGCAGCCCGGGGTGTGATCCTGGACACCCGGGATCGAGTCCCACATCGGGTTCCCTACATGGAGCCTGCTTCTCCCTCTGCCTGTGTCTCTGTCTCTCTCTCTCTCTCTCTGAGTCTCAAATAAATAAAATCTTTAAAAAAAAAGAAAAGAAAAGAAAATACAGTGTGGCAGTTGCTGCGATGGGAAGCGTGGGCTGATGTGGAAGGACCAGGAATGGAGGCCTAGCCCACACAGTGGGAATCTGGGAGATTAAGGCTTCACAGGAGGGCCTGCCCTGAGTCTGGAATCCACTCGGGACTTAGCCATGGACATGAGGAACGTGGGAAGGAAGGGTGCTCAGGCTCAGGTCACTGTGAGACAGTATGTACAGACAGAAGTGATGAGGCTCAGGAAGTAAGGAACTCCACGAGGTTGGGCATGGCTGAAAATGATGGGGTGCAATGGGCGGGAAGCCTGGGCAAAATCTGAGGCAGGGGTTGAGCCAGAAGACAGAGCACTGGCAAAACCTCATGAAGGAATCTACTCTCCAAATGGGACCTGGATCACAGAGTTCACCTTTCGTTATTTGGCAGTGGCTGGGTGATACCATCAGGTTTGTTTTCTATACCCCGCATGCGTGTGTGTGTGGAGATATGCATATACTTCACTGCTCTAGTTAACAGTGACTGTAGTAACATCTCCACGCCAGCTTTCATCTCTAAAATGCTAAAAACACGGTGTGCCCACCATATCCCAAAGCATAATAAAAGGAGATATTTAATAAAAGGATTATTAAAGGGACACCTGAGTGGCTCAGCGATTGAGCATCTGCCTTCAGCTCAGGTCATGACCCAGGGTCCTGGGATCGAGTCCCGCATCCGGCTCCCTGAAGGGAGACTGCTTCTCCCTCTGCCTGTGTCTCTGCCTCTCTCTCTCTGGGTGTCTCATGTATAAATAAATAAAATATTTAAAAAAAGGATTATTAAAGATTAAAAAAAGATGAGAAGCCTATATAAGGAATAGCTTCTCTTGGGCTGTATAAAGGAGAGCTCAGCAATGTAAAAGACACACTACCCGCTGGCCCCCCTCCCCCCGAAAAATGAATTGGGAGGGACATTATGGGGTGTGGAGCAGAGAAGACCATTTCCTACAGCCACAGGCATTCTTGTCTGGATGTCCTATCAGTCCTGTGCCCAGGGCTTGCATCACGTCCTCAGCGCCTGTGTTCTGGGCTAAAATTTAATCCCTTCGGGAGCTATACGGGGGCAAAAAAGCAAACACCAAACACTTGCCTTTCCTATTTACCCAGGTGATACCTTCCATTTCAGATAGAAGGATTATTTTCATAAAGCCCTTCTTGAATCTTAGAGAATACACAGGTGGGTGAAGCATATCTGATAGTCGGATGATAAAGGGTGGGTGCTGAAATGCCCAGTTCCTGGGTTTCCCCTCTGTCAGCCCCGGCTCTGTGGGTGTCTGATTCTTGCTGGAATCAGACAAGACAAAGCCGGAGCAGGCTGCCCGCCTGAGTACCTGGATGCAGGGCCAATGTGTGCGGGACAAAAGCTGCCTTCCGAAGAGAACAGAGCAGTTTCCAATCACTGCACAATCACCTTTATTAGCATAACATCTCGTGCATTTTGTAAAAACACTTTCCTTTTCCATCTCAGGAAGAAGGCAGAGACAGAAATTGCTGCCACTGAGGGGGGGAAAATGTCTGTAAAATTTAAACCATGGGGCATTTGTTCAAGACTCTTGGGTAATGATGTCTCTTGATATATAATTCATGATAGCCTTAAAGCTTGGCCTACTTCTGACACAGAGATCATAGATTTTGGAGAAGTCAGGGAGGGGGAGGGAGAAAAAAAGTCACTTTTAAATGGTCCTGCTGTACTTTGCCTTTTGAGTAAAGCCAGACAATATTTTGGACCATTCTTTTCGACCATAAGGGCTTCCCTTAAAAAGCTTTTTAGTTTTTTTTCCTCTTGTAAATTGAAGAGGCAGCGTATCATCCAGTTTCAGTTTTATCTTCTGTAACACTAGATAAAAGATGAGTCTGAATCCATCTGTTAGCACATACAGGCTGGAAATTGTGTGAAAGCAATCTCTCTCCCTCTCTTTCTCTCTCTCTTTCTCTACCCCCCCCCCCACCGCCTTGCATACAGGGGGGAAAAATCCACACTTTCAAAAAATTTATCATCAGCAATCCTACCCAATGCCGACCAGATAGCAGCACTTTTATCCTTTTATGGGCAGATTCAGGAGGAAGCCAGCCTTGCCACAAAGGCTCTTCCCCCTACGCTGCCACATGAATTGGGATGCTGGCGCTGGCTGCAGGCCAGCCCCTTCCCCCACAGCCTGGGGTTCTAACCTCACCGAAATCAGTGATGCTCCCCCTGGGTGCCATTACCTGCTCATCTGAGCCCCCTCGAGCTGATGCTGGGAGAATCGCAGAGCAGCGGGAGGGCTTCTGTCCTTTGTACAAAGGCCGTGCTCCTGGGGCTGGGTTTATGGGGAAAACCAGCAGGCAGGCTGCCTGGGCCCCATCTGGGTCACTTGGCATTTCCTATGGCACTGCAGCCGGGGTGGCCCCGTGCATTGCCCTTCCCAGGCTCGGAGAACTGCTTTGCCCAACAATTCAGGAAATGCCGTGTGCATCTGATCAGACCAGACGCGACAGAAAATCAAAGACTGAAGGCTGGAGGTGGCCTGGATGGGCCCTTGCCAGCACTCATCTCTCACATCTCCAAAATTACCTCCTTAAAGTGCAGGCGTAGAGTCCTGGAATGCAAAGCTCCTTTGTTTCTTAAATGCAGAAACTGTGTTAATCACAGAGTTCCAAAAATAAGCAAGCTTTATGTCATTAATGAGGTGAAGCTCAAGCACACACAGTCCCAATGAGGATGGGGGTGGAAATGACAAGTATGAGTGACCAGTGACCGCCCAGGCCACTGCACTTCAAAAGGTTCCTGTGGTTTTCAGGGAGGGCCCAGAGCCCCTGCTCCACGCCCAGCACCCTGCATTCTGGAGTGCTATGTCCTGCGGATCCTGCCTCTTCTGTGTTTCACATCACCCCTCCTCCTGCCTCCCACTGCCGCTGCCCTAATTTAGGTCCTTCTTCCCTTCCTTTCTTCTGGACGGTTCTGCACACGCAGCCAGATGGCTCTTCCTGAAGCAGCGGAGAGATCCCCGCACCACTCCGTGGCTGAAAAGCCTTTAATGATTTCCCCATTGACCAAGACATAAAGCCCAGCCACTAATTTCTAAGACTCTCTTCATCATGTCCTGGCCAAAATTCCAGGCCCGGTCTCCCACTTCGGTCTCTCCTTCCCATTTCCTACCGGTCAGCCCACTGTCTCCTTTCCAGCTGTCTCACTGCACACCCTTGCTCGGGTAGTTCCCTCTGTCTGAAATAGCTCTTTCTTCACTCCGCCTTCTCCTTTCCAAATGCTGTTCATCCTTCAAGACCACATTCAAGTCAGCCATGGACTCAACCTTGACCCCCAGGGGAAATTTCTCGTTCTATGAACTTCCATAATTTTATCCTACCTCAATCACTTCCTAGGGTTATAACAAAGCCCAGACACCGTGTTTTCCTCCCTAGACGGTAAGATATCTAGGGGAAGAAGACTGTGTGGTTGACTTTAACACACTTATTTTCATCTAGATAGGTCCTGGTATGCAAGCGGTGCTCACTAGTGTTGCCTAACTAAATTAATGAGGATGACTACAGGATTGCAGAGGTAAGCTATTTTGTGGGGGCCTGGCAATTTGAACAGATTGTGTCCCTGCCCCGTGTAGAAGTATGTCACGAAGGGGGCACAAAGCATGCCCAGGAGGCATGCTGGGTGGGTGGGGCCATAGTGGACCACACCCATGACTTCCAAGAGGCAAAATCCAATGGTCAGTTCTCAACCTTCATCTTTACTTTACTTCATCAATTGTGACACAATTGAGTCATTGTCCATTCCAAAAAGTCTTATTTCCTGGACCCCTAGATCACAGTCTCCTAGTTAACATCTGCTCCTTCTTATTCTCTTTATCTGGTTCCCTGACTTTCTTCCCAAACTCTTCACCTTGGCATTTCCTGGAACTCAGGCCTTCAGCTCTTTCTTCTCTATCGGGAGTCACGCCTTTAGTGACCTCATCCAGTTTCATGGTTTTAAGTATCATCTCTATTTGATGGGTCTCAAATCCATATTTCCAGCTTTGACTTCTCCCTTACTTGCCATAACCACAGCCTACTCAAAATCTCCACTTGGACACCTACCTCAAATTTATCACAGCCCCAAAGTGAACTCCTCGTCCCCTCTCCCCATGCTGCTCACCCACCCCCAAGTCTTTCTCATCTCAGCTAATGACAATTCCATCCATCCAGTCTCTTAGGACAAAATATTGAGTCATCCTAACCTCCTCTCTTATTTCACGCCCCACATGCAATCCTTCTGCAAATCCTTCTAGCCTTACCTTTAAAATGTATCCAGCATAGATCAAAATGTATTCCCTTTACACTTTGCTCTATTTTTTTCCATTGCTTTTTTTGACCCGCTAATATACTAGAAGGTAATAAATAACACTTTATTACCTTTCTCTGATTTATTATTATTATTATTCCATTATTATCACATTTTCCCCTTACTGGTGTAGCTAATCCCTAGAGCCTAGAACTATGCATGGCACAAAGTAGATATTCAGTAAATAGTTGTCCAATGCTGGAATGGATGACTTTAGCTGATGATCTCTGAACTGTAGTTTAAAAAAATAAATAAATAGCATTTAACCACTGGCAAGGCAGGGGAAATGTAAGAAGCAAGGGCCTAGAGATACAACCTTCTTCAACGTCTTAAGACACAGCAGTACCCCAAAAGCCTGCCCAAATTATATAAAACCACTGAAGGAGCAGTTGTGAACAGTTCCCAATTTGTCCAGACCAGCGAAGGAAAGGTTCAAGGAAGTTCAATGAATAATTATGCTTTTACATAAAAAACATATATGGTGAAAATGAAACAAAACACACCCAAGTTGGTAAATAATTGTGTATAAACATCCCCTCTGCAATTTTATTTACCTCACACATTTTCTACATATTTTTCCCCCTCAGATACTACAAAGAGAGTAACTTCCGGTTCTGTCTATATTCACCTACTACAATTCAACATCCTGTGTGCATTTTCTGGACCAGGCCCATGTCAATCTTACTCCCTGTCATTCCCTCAGTCTCCACCCTCCTAGACATAGTGTTTTCAAAGTATTTATTTGATCAATGAAGGCAAGAGTAAATGCCTTATGAATGTCTCCTGGCTGGACCAGTGCCACGATATAAGAAAATATTCTGAGAAACGACTCTCCACCAGACTCGTCCTTGAGGCAGAAAATGCATTAGCCCTCACTTGCCCCCAGCACCTAGCAGCGTGGCCGGCTTGCAGCAGACATTTGATGGATTTGATGGCTAAAATCAAGTTCGTCTACATGAAGGACTGAAGTGGTAAAGAGTGCTGACAACATCCCTCTTGTTGACTCTCTGTGCCAGCATCTCATCGCTCTCTGCTCTGTTGCTGTGATCTGACCCAATGTAGAGAGCAGGCCTAGGGTGAGCGGAATGCTCCACACAGCTTCCATGTCCACCTGTCCCAAAGAGAGTTTATGATGGGAACCAGTCCCTTCAGTGAACCAGCTGAGTCACAGACACCTCAGTGTTTGCATCCAGAAAAAGGACATCTCCATAGGCTGTGATGAGGATTTGCAAAACCCTTTGAAGGCTGATCTCATTGATTTTAGCCTCGGGTGACCATTTCTTCTGTGGGCGCTCCCTGCCGTGTACCCCAGTGAGCTGGAGCTTATCATGCTATTCAAGAGGCATCTGTCAAGCGGGTGCTGGGGCTTAACTACTGTTCTCTATCAAAAGACTCCTCTAAGCATGATTTCTTCGCAGATGTTTGTGAAGAGACGTGCCATTACCAAACTCAGAAGCATGATTAGGGGCTTTGGGCTCTGATTAGGGTCAGGAATTACTGGGCCAGAGAATCAACTTCCTTGGAGGCCACACTTAGATAATCACATACAAGATGAATCCCGCATCGCTGGGCATGCTTTCTTCTACTTTTCGAGGGTCTTTACCATGGAAGGGGTCAATTATTGCTATGGGAAAAAAGAAAGCAGAGCCAAAAACTAAAGCAGGATATTCACTGCCCTGCCACCTGCACACACACACACAACACACACGCACATAACACATGCACAGGAAGCTGTAGCCACCAGGCTTCCCCGAGACCCAACAGCTGATTGGATTTACCTCCTAAATGCAAGGCTTATCAAGGAAACAGACAAACATCAAAATGAAAAGGCACAAATTCCCATTTTCATTGTGGTAGAAACCAGGGGAGCAAGACATTCTTGCATCTGAAAGGCACATTTCAATAGAACTTGCAGACCTTCCAGGGGACAAGGGGAGAACACATCCATGAGAGCAAACATTCTTTTCATTTTTCTCCAGTAGGAGGGTACTTTTTGACCAGTAACAAAAATCACACATGACTTACGTCCAGCATTTATTTGCCTCCAGGTTAATTAGCTCACTTCTTCTTGGCTTGTATATTTATTCAACAAAGAGCTAAGGTCAGAGGGACACATCCTGGGCTGGTGCAAAGGGTGTGGGGCTTGAAGCCAGAGATTTTGGCCTCAACTAAAGCCATCTTGAATAGGTAACTTTGCTCTTCGAACCTCTTCCTTGTCTCATAAAATGAAGCTAATGTGCCCCGCCCACCTCACAGGGCTGCTGAGGGTGAAACGAGCTCCTGTGACAACAGATTGTGTGCAGTATCTGATATTCAAGAGGTCCTTCTCAAAATATGCTGAATCCGAATCAAATGCCTGTCTCATGAGCCACATGCCCTCCTCTCAAAGCGGCTGTATTATTGAAAAGGAAGATGGTATACATTCACCTATGACTCCAATATAAAGGAGAAAGTAGTAAAAGCTCTCCGATGTCACAAAAAGAACACTCTAGAGGGTCAGACAAAGCAGAGATGATTTACAGCCAAGGACATCAGTGGACGCCTCTGGCAGAAGGGACATTTGATGTAGGAGCATGCCATAGTTTACATTTCAGGTTATGGATGGATGGATTATTCATTTATCTTTTAATACATAGAAAAGTCCAAGCTATTATGCTTGCTAACTTGGAGGGTATAAGAAAAGAAGGAAACGTGACAAAAACTCTGTCCCTAGACGATAGATAACCTAGTGGGGAAGAGATCATGTGTGTATACATGTGCACACACAGACGTCATCCATCTTTGACAATTTGTGACAAATGATTAATGAATAATTCAGAAATCTGGAGCCATGCAGTGAACCAACGGTGTGCAGATGATCTCAAGCTGTAACCAGTTAGCTCCAGCTTTTCCCACCCTGGGCATCAGTATTCCCATCTGTAAAATAGATGGCTTGGCTAAATCAAGACATTTTTCAATCGTGTGGCAAAAATGAGCTAATGCATGCTCACAGTCATGGGAGACAGCAAGTGGGCTCAGTGTGGTCAAAACCCCCACTGGCCACTGCTCTGTGGCCACAATCAGCTTCAGCATTTCCTCCGTGTGCTGTACAAATAGTA